TATATTCTTTGGTTAAGTAAATCAACTACCTTAAATTTGAGCCAAGACTTATTCACCAGGTACAGAAATCCTTCCTACAGTATTACAATGTGTATGTTAGAAAAGAACTTGTCTGCACAGGGAAAACTTCCTAGAAAGTAGTTCCATGTACTTTTCTAGCATGAAAGAAGCATTTGTTAAGACCAGCTATAACTTGAGTGCAAATAATGTTAAATAAACATGTAAAATAAGCTCAAGTTCTTATTCAAAAATAAAATTTGCAGTGTTATAAAATAAAACATTGTGAATAGCTGGATAACAATTTAATAGTAATAAAGTAGTAATAAGTAGCTAAAATTGTAATAAGGAGCTAAAATTGAACTGTGTAAATAGTATCCTAAAAAGTATGTGAAGAAATATTTATTGCTTTTATTATTTATAATTATTTTATTAGGAGAAGATAATGCTTATAATAAAGGACACATGATTAATTAAAAGTCTTGCTAACACTCATGGCATCTGCTATAAAAAGTATCCCAACAGCTGGGACATTGGAGCATGCCCAGAATCCCAGCACTTGGAAAGCTGAGGCAGGAAGATTGCCTTGAATTCAAGGCCATCCTGGGCCACACAGTGAGTTTAAGACCAGTCTGGACTACAGAGTGAAACCTGTCTCGAAATACACAAAACACAACAGTATACCCACAGTGTACCCACAAATTCTTAAGATTGTGCTGCACTCAGCTGTGGCTCACACACTGGTTACTTTGCTGGCCAGAATCTAGCCTATGTTTAGTTTGCTTGTTTGTTTTGTTGTTGTTGTTTTGGTACTGGGAACTGAACTTGTCAACTTGTGCTTGCCAGGCAGGCACTATGCCACTAAGCTACTTCCCTGGCCCAGAATCTAGTCTTTGAAAACCTCTTAGTCCCAGTTAGTCTAAATTTGCCAAACCATATCCTATAATTTATGTATGTACCCTATATATGGAAAGAGTATGTCTGTTTGGGAAGGTAAGATGTATATTCCTTTTTGCAGCAAGAGATGATCACGTCAACCTTGTACAGTCATGGAAATCTCGACCAATTGCTCAATAAGTGAAGCACCTAGCTGAACAGGGCTCTGCCGCAGGGGAGCACCACATCCACCCTTGGATGCCGTTATCCTTTGTTTACTAGAAAAGGCCAAACTTTTGGTAATTAACATTTTTATTTGTAGATCTTTTATTCTGGAACTGATTAATTACCCTTAAACTGTTTTGACAAAATGCCAAAGAACAGAAAAGAGCTGTGCATGATTTGACCAAGATGCTGAATGTAATTTCAGGGAGGAGATTTTTTTAATATATATATATATATATATTCATAATTTTACTGAGAAACAAATAGCAATGAGACAGTTTCAAACCAAATTGGTAGGACAGTTTCAATAATTAACACATTGCATACACTCTTCCTAGTGGTTAATTGCTATACAAGATGCGGATGTGATATCCTATTTACAAACACCATTAGAACAAATCCCTCTATTCATTAAGAGAATGTAACTGTATATCTATCCTAGCCACTTTGAGCACACAGATACAAAATGGACATTCGTCTGTATACCCTTTTTTTGTTAAGTTCCGTTATTTGAATATTATAGGTGTGTAAACTCAGCAAAATATTCTAAAGGAGTCCAGTAGTCCATAATAGTATTGGGTCATCCCCTTGACTGGCAATGTCAGAAATTGTTGACCTGAGTCCCCTACAGCTCAACATAACAGCATGGCTTTACTTCTTATATTTCTTTTATATACTTTTCTGCTGGATGGTTAAGACCAAGGTAAAGCAGGACCTATGCAACG